TCAGGCCCCGGGCGACGGCCCGACCAGACGACCTTGACCCGATACACCGGGGGGCGAATAGGGGAAAATGGCCCACGAAGAGCCGGGCGGAGCTGCAACTGAAAGCCGGTAGTTTGTTTCTCTGCTTCTCTGCATCTACAATCCCCAAAATCTCTAGGTATCCACCTACTAGGATGCGATTTTCGTCCGTCTTTAGACGCAAACTTTTACTTTCTAGTACTAGCTATCATCCTCCGTCTCTCTCCCTCTCTCTCCCTCTCTCTCGGTCTCTCTCCCCCTCTCTCTCTAGCTCTCTATCTATCTCTCTCTATCTCTACTCGTTCACCCTCGCTATTCTCTCTCTCTCTCTAACTCTCTCTCTCTCTCTCTCTCCCTCTTTGACAGTCACTCTATCTCATCTCCCTTGCTATCTCTCTATCTTTCTACCTCGTTCTTTTTCCTCTATCTCGCACTTACACTATCTAGCTCTCCCTCTGCGATTCATGACATTTCCGCAATGATCTCTGCCAGCTTGCCTTTCGGGGCTAAGAAACCTTCCAACCTTCGCACTCTCTTTCTCGCTCTCTCACTCTCTCTCGCCCTCTCTCTCCCTCCCTCTGTCGCTCTCTCCCTTCTCGACCTGGCCTCAAAAAAGAAAAAACGAAAATCGTCCCCCGCCGAGTAGACGCGCGTAGAAAGTGAGCAAACGGATTGGCGCCCCGGGTCCTCCCCCGGGCCAAAGATTTTGTCGGTTGAGTCTCGACTTCTTTCACTCTCTCTCTCTCTCTCTTTCTCACTGTGGGTACAGTAGCTTTCCCACACTTGTCAAAGACCACTTTGCAAGGTATTGGTGGAAAAGAAGGCGTTTAGATGCATGTTTTGGAGCGTAGCGTAGCTGTCTAACCCATGTCGATGGAAGGGGTCGATTTCCGCGTGTCCCGAAGCCTTTAAGGTTGTTATCGACGACTTTTGCTTGTTTGCCAGATCATTATTTTTGTATTTATTGGAAAAATACTATTTTTGTTATGCCATTTCAACTAACACATAGTGCTTATTTTCGCAATTTCCTCCTGAAAAACAGAAAACAAGGAGGAAAATAATATGCCCTGGGGGGTATATCATCACCAGGAGCGCAGGACGCACTCATTTCGGTATCTATCCCCACCTTCCAGGCTTTTAAGGTGGCTTCTTGTCTAGACCTAGTCGACACCTGGGGTCGATTCTGGGGTTCGCCGGTTCATTTAAATGCGCGCGAAAGCCAGCTTTGTACGTCAAAAAAGGATCTGCTCGCCTATTTTTCCTAGAAAGCTGATCTCCCAAAGAATCTCTGCTCGCTAGCCGGGCTTGTGGTTTTTCTTCAGCCAATTTGCAATTTTTCTACGTCCTATAATCTGCTCCGCTACCGTAATCCTCAGTATTTAGCGATAATCCGAATTTCCTCAGAGATCTCTGCTAATTGGCGTTTTTTGAGATAGCTCAAAAGCGCAAAAACGCGGGTTCGATCCCGTGGGGTTGTCAAATTTTCCTTTTAGAGAATTTCTAGCGACCTTCCGAGGATTCTGAACTTTGCTAAGCACGTACGCTTAAAATACCTAGAATATACGGCTTGAAATCACGGCCCCAGGGCCGGAATCAGTGTTCGAATCCGCGTGCTCCTCTTCCTCCTTTTCTTGTATGTGCATTGGATGGGGTTGTCGTCGCCGTCCCTGACATCCTTTCGATGCGGGGCACAGACGGGCGGCTTTCACCTCGTTCTCCTCTTCCATCCCTTCCTCCCCCTCCTTCTCAATACCCCCTCCCCCACCGTCCATTCCGCCCCGCACCTGTAGACGATCCCCCTGGGGCTACGAATGGGGCGCTCTTTAGGGAGCGCCCTAAAGCGCGCCCCTTCTGGGGTCACGAATTTTTGGGTCAACGATGGGCTGGGGTTGTGCTTTGAGGTAGGTGGGAAAATGGCTAAATTGCCTCAAAAATTATATGCTAGCCCGCCCCTTTAATCCCCAAAGGATCTCTGCTAGCCTGCCCCTTCCATTCCCAAATGATCTCTGCTAGCTTTTTTAGACTACCTTCCAAATTCCGTACGTGTCGATTGTCCTTATTTACGTAGTATTTCCTGGGTTTTTCCGTCCTTTTTCCGTTCCACTCCACCCAACACTCCGCCCCAGGACCGTTCTAATTTCGCTGATTTATCTCTGCTAGCCGTTCCCCCACAGCCCAGTTCCGCAAAAAAGCAGGAAAAGAAAAACCGACTTCTTGGGCCGGGCGTTCCGTTTTTCTTGCCTTTTCCCAAAAACTCAGGACCGTTTGGGTTTGGTTTGCTTTCTTTCTCTGCTCTCTTTCCCTTTCGCTCTCTCTCTCTCTCTCTCTCTCTCTCTCTCATCTTTATTTACTATCCACCCCCCGGCTAACGAAAAACGGATGCGAATGGTTAACGCCAAGGGTTGGCCCTTTATTTTCTCAATGGGGGTTTTTCACAGACCTAAATTTTTCCCTTTTTTCTGGCCAATAGAAAAGTGATTCCGACGGGATACTCTTTCCGTCTTGTGGAAAACAGTCTTCAAATTAAGTCCATGTTGACACGCTGGCCGTTTCTCCGGCCAAAGTTGCCGGAAAATCCGAGCAATCTTCGAGAGAGCCCATTTTCTTTAAGATATTTTTGGTCAGCCACGGCATTTTTGGACGTTTGTAGATTTTTCGAAATATAAAAACCGGAAGTGCTACGCAACGCTGCGCAACGCTACGCAATGTAACGCAAAACGCAATGCACTCGCATCCGACTTTTCGTTGCGTAATCGGTTCAACCGGTCCTTGAGTTTAGCCTGTCACTTCCGATTGGAAATTCAAAGCTTACATGTCTTCCTAGGACTTTTAAAGGGACCAAGAAGCCTCCGAATCGACCCTTTCTGTCTACTAGACCTAGGCAGCTATGCAAAATTACAAAAATCCTTCAAGCTTTTAAGTTTTTGGACAAAGCACCACTTGACCAAAATAAGTTAAACCCCTCTTTAGGCTCGTCGCGTTCCTCTCTAGATCTAGTCGCTATAAGGAGTCGATTTTCGCAGTTCCTAGTCCCTTCAAAGCTGAAAATACTTTACGTTTTTATGTCGTAATCAATCCCTGAAGCCTCTAGCCTTGCAACCCATCGAAGATTTCCACACTCCAGCTGATTGACATTAGAGTGTGTCGTGTTTGAATAATTATTTGAATATATTCGAGCCCGCTCAAATAAATTATTTGAAGGCGTCGCGGAAATTATTCAAATAATCGGTCAAATAACGGAACCACCTCCGCTCCGATTCAAATATATTTGAACATATTCAAATAAAGCCCTGCTGGACAAGCTCAACGAAATTTGAAAATCGCACCCATGGATTCCAAAAGGGACTTTGTTGACCTTAGAATAGCACCGCCGACCATTTCCCTAGATGCTATAATGCCGAATAGTGAAAAATGACGGTATTTTTCGGTATTTCGGGATTGTCAGGGTTTCCAGTTTTCCGGTGATCGGAATCAGCGGCAGACAACCAAAGCGCTTATCGGCTCACCAAGCGCAATAGAACAACTGTCAGAATGCCGACTTGAAAATGCCGACGTGCTAAATGCCGAAACGCGAAAATGCCGACGGGAGGTTTTGTTCCGAAATGCAATGCTAACATCTATCTCGCAAATTTTTTCGTGTCGGCATTTTTTTTGTCGATATTTTTGATGCCGGCATTTTGCAAAAACGGCGTTGCAGGGCTGTGCGACATTTGGCGGTTGATATTTAGCCCAACTCGTCTCGAAATTTGACATTTCTTATTTGAATGAAAGATTTGACTAGGTTTTTTCAAAAGGAGAGCGATTTGACAAAGCTTGGTTTTATTTGAACATGTTCAAATATATTTGAATCGGCACTACGGGAGAACGGTTATTCAAATAACGATTCTGGATTATTTGAATATCCGTTATTTGGATTTATTTATTCAAAGTGGATTTGTATTTGCAAACGACACACTCTAATTGACATGTATTTTCCAGAGGGGGGCGGCGACCTTTTTTCATTTTTTGCCCGTTCACGGGACTCCGGGGCGTTCGTTCAGAATTCATCTGCAGGAGAGAGAGAAAGCGAGAAAGAGAGAGAGAGAGAGAGAGAGAGAGAGAGAGAGAGAGAGAGAGAGAGAGAGAGAGATGCCAGGCGCCAAAAGCCGTGTTTTCCTCACGGCCGGCCGGCGCGAGCATATAAATATGCCCTGAAAATCAGCTGATTTTCCTTTCGGTCTCTCTCCCTCCCTCCCGCTCTCTCTCCCGCTCTCTTCTCTCTCGCTCTCTCGTGTTTATTTCGAGTCTGCCGTTCCTTCTTCAACGTTTTTTGTTGTCGGCGCCGAACACCCTGGTCATGTGGCGGCTCTCGGAGCTGGTCAGTGGGCGGATTTACTTACGAGTTTCGAGAATTTCCTGGGATTTATGCGGAATTACACTCGATATTGCCATTCCACTTTTGGAAATTGATGGAACTTTCTATGTCGCTCTCTCTTCTCTCACTCTCACCCACTTTCTCCCACTCTCTTCCCGTCCTTCTCTCTCTCTCTCTCACTCTCTCTCTCTCTCTATTCCCCATCAGCTGATCGCCTTCCCCCTTCTTATTTTTGTTTATTTGTTGGGGCACAGCTGATCGGGTCGACAGCTCACGATTCCTTCGAGAGCATCTCCACACGCGTCCCGAGCTTTCCACCCTCCCAAAAATACTCGTGACTTTTTGTCTCCTCCCGCCTGGCTGCTGTTTTCAGTTCTCAGTTATTACTGGGTCACAGAACTCCGGTTCCTAGGGCCCAGACGCACCCGGGCTACGGTGGTTCGCCCAGATTTTTTTGTTTTTATTTTTTATTTTTGCGTAACAAGGTTTTATGCTTACCTTTCTCACTCGCTCTCTCCTCTCTCTCTCTCTCTCTCTCTCTCCCCCCTCGGCCGTCACCTCCGGCACTCTCAATTTTTTGTGTTTTCAATGTTCTAAATACGCCATAATTTTATCTTCCTTTTCCAGGATGCCCTCCCTAAAATTGCCGGGTCTGCTCCACCCAGGCACCGCCACGAAGGCCGACGACCGGACACGGTTGGCTACCGTGTGCGAGGCCGAATCCTACGACGCACCATGCGGGTTTGCCTGCCACGGGGAGCACGACTCGAGGAGCAAATGGGCACTCTTCTTCCGATCACAGGTAGGTAGCAGAGATCATTTGGGAATGGAAGGGGCAGGCTAGCAGAGATCGTTTGGGAATGGAAGGGGCAGGCTAGCAGAGATCATTTGGGAATGGAACGGGCAGGCTAGCAGAGATCATTTGGGAATGGAAGGGGCAGGCTAGCAGAGATCATTTGGGAATGGAAGGGGCAGGCTAGCAGAGATCATTTGGGAATGGAAGGGGCAGACTAGCAGAGATCATTTGGGAATGGAAGGGGCAGGCTAGCAGAGATCATTTTGCTCTCAATTATCTTGATTTTCAGCCCGTCTTCGCGCAGTACTTCAAGCTGCTCGTGCTGTTCGTGTTCGCCCTGGCGCACGTCTTCTACATCACCGACTTTTTGGAGGTGTTCAGGGCGTATGAGGAAACGGAGATGTACATCGCCGCAAGGTACCCTGGAACGTCAAACCAGGACGCGAATGGGATCCGCTACGTCATGCATCTTCTTGTGGAGGTGAGAGAGAGTGAGAGAAAGAGAGAGAGAGAGAGAGAGAGAGATATAAATCTATCTAAATTTTTCCAGTACAAGAAGAACCTGTGGATGAGCGTGGCCGCGATGTGCGCCAGCCTTTCCGCGTCGTGCTTCTTCCTGCTGCTGATCAACGAGGAGAAGTGCTACAAGCTGTACACTGTCATGGTTGGTTAGAGAAAGAGAGAGAGAGAGAGAGAGAGAGAGAAAGAGAAACAGATAGAGTGAGATAAAAATGATCAGTTTTTGCAGATGCGCGTTCTCGACATGGTGTCCTTCTTGGCCCTTCCGCTCCTTCTCGTCTTCCGCATGTTTACCGTAACCCAGCTGAACGTGCATCTGAATCGGGTGTTGGTTGGATTGTCGCGGCTGTCCGACCCGTCGCTGCTCATGAACCGGCTGAAGTGCAGTATCGAGGAGCGAGAGAATGTGAGTTTTAAGAGAGAGAGAGAGAGAGGGAGAGAGAGAGCGCGAAAGAGAGAGACAGATCGCGAGAGACAGCCAATCATTTTGTATTTTTCCAGCTTCCCCTCTGCTCCCTCGTCATCGAGCGTGCCATCTTCCCGGTCGTCGTCCTCGAGTATCTCCTCGTGCTCGCCGTCATCACCGCGGCGTACATCGGCTTGGCGTACGCGATCGTCTACTGCATCCGGCACTGGTTCCCCCATCAGGGACGTCACCGTGTCGTCCGTTCCGTTTCGCAACGACTTTACGGCCCGCTCGTCTCCGCCTAAGTCATTTTAGCGGGTTTTAAAGGAACATTGAAGGCAAAGCTTGTCTACAGGGTACTGTAGATTCTCTAAAATCTAGGTTTTGGTTTGAAATCTTGATTTCAAGCATTTTTCATGTCAAATCTAGAGCTTATCTGGGCTCTAAAATTTGACCTAGCTACAGTACCCCAACCGGCTTGACCTTCAATTTTCCGGAATTTCCCCGTGTTTTAGAATAGCAAATTCCCTGCCGTTTTTGATCAAAATCCAGTGCAATCTGCAATTATTCTCCCCCACCCACTCATCCTCCTCCCAAAGGCGCGCCAAGTGCAATATGTCAAAAAAGAAGAAATCCGTGAGATGCATTTTCAGTTACCGACCCCCCTGAATTTCGCCTATTTCATGTCATTTTTGAGGGCTTAAAGGTGCCGGGAAGCCAACAAAAGAGCATGATAGAGCTGGAAAAATTGAGTTTCTGATTTTCTGGGGGCGAAAATGAGCATTTCCTAGCTGTCACCATCCCTTTAAAGGGTTTCCGGTACACTGAGAATGGCAAAAATCGATTTTTGAACAATTTTAAAGGTGCCGTAAAGTAAAAAAGTTGTAAATTGGACGAAAAGCCAGCTTTTTAGCTGTCTCGTTCCCTTTAGAAGACGTTCGGCACGTTTGAAACGATAAAAAGTCGATTTTTGCTGTTTTGATAAAGTCCAGAGAGCTCCCAAAATCTGCAAAAAAGCTCAGAAAATGTTCTTTTTTGCTTGGTAACCCGGAAATGGCTTTTCCAGCTGTCACCACCCCTTTAAAGACTTCCCGGCCCCTTTAAACCCTCAAAAATCCTCCCTTCCCCAAATCGGCATCCCTGTGATCCACCCAAAACTCTTGTCTCCACACAAACAAAGCCGTTCTTTCTTGAGAATTCCCCCAATTGTCTCTGCTCGCCCCCTCCCCCACTCTCTCACCCCGTTACCGGTTCCGCCCGTGATCTGTGTACACCGCCGCCGCGCCACGCTGGCTTTTCATGGCGTAATGCAATCGCCCTCCAGGATGGCCATGCAAAGGGCAACAAGCTTTAGCTGAGACCTGGGGGTACGGTAGGGTTACTGTACCCCAAAGTCGAGGCAAATTCCCCCAAAAATTTACCCGATTTTTTTGTGTTTTCTGCAATAGGGCCAGCCAGCCAGGGCCAAGAAAGAGTTAGGTGGGTTATGGTGGCCGGGGTGTGGTTTAGGTTCCCAAGCTTAGCGAGCCAGGAAAATCTCGGAACCTCCATTTTTTTTTGTTTTTGAAGCCTATTTTTGCGCCGGCTACAGTAGTCCGAACTCGAATTCTTAGGCTTGGACTACGGTAGCCAGGGCGCTTTTTAGCGCTTCAAATTTGGCATACCGTAATCTGAAGTAATATCTGTAAATGGATTACGGTAGTGAAGCCAGATTTTAACGTATGAGCCTAAAAATTCAGAAATTCATTTTTTGATAGGTAACCTGCTGCTAGCACCAGTTACCGAAATGCCATACCAAGACTACGGTAACGAGATCAGTTTTTAAGTTTTTACCCAAAGCGGTCGAAAGGTACGATTTTTTTTGCTAACTGATGCCCGAATTACCGTAACCCTTAGCTGGGATTACGGTAAACGAGCGAATTTTTGACGTAAATCTAAAAAATTGAATTTTTCCATCTTTATGAACAAAATAATTGAATAGCTACCGTAAATTAAGAATCGGTTACGCTATTTCAATATCAAAAAGTGTTTAAGGGTCAAAAATCCCAAATCTTGAAGCCTAAACCACACCCCAACTACCGTAACCCACTCGCTCCCCATCTGGCCCAGCCCCTCCCCGCGCGATTCTTCCAAAAATCTTTCATTCTTTCACACAATTTTCCCCCACACATTTTCTGCGATTTTCCAGTTGTCAGTCCATTGATGTCTTTCTTATTCTCTCCCGACCCGTTGAGTGTCCATTTGCCCTGCCAAAAAATTTGAATATTCGACTTTTCAAATGTCAAAATTCAATTTGAAAATGTGAAGATTTCCCCCTAGAATGTGCGGCCCGGAATTTGGTGTCTACCGTAGCCGGTAGAATACCGTACACCCCCACCGGCCGGCCCGTCTCACTGAGCGCCTGTGAGCGTCGCGTGTCTTTGATGGCTTTTCTGATATAATTTACACCAATTCTTTCATCCGTGGCCGGAAACGAGAGGGTTACGGTAGCCGGGCTACCGTACCCCCTCGGAGCTGGCTGTGTTTTTTCTGATACTGTCACCTCATTTCCATACGATTCGCCGGGAATTGCATTTTTTTTGGTGGTTTTCAAGGGACTGGGAAGGGTGAATTTTGAATTTATTTAAAGCACTTGACGTCAGAACAATTTCATTTTCTAAATTTTTGATTCAATATTTACAACCAGAATTTTCATAAAAATTTCTTAAAATCGAGTTGGGCCAAAATTTGCATTTTAAACCCAATTTTAAAGGGTTGAGCAACTTGCCAAAAATTTTTCCTAGCTGTCCTACCCCCTTTAAAACACCCAAAAACTACATTCCTGTCCTAATAAATCTATTCTATCTCGTTTTTATGCTAATTTATTCCCCCCAAAAATTCCACCCGATTCCTCTGCACACCCCTTTCAGTTCCACGTTTTTCTAACGTACCTCCTCAATCTCTCACTATTTAATTTTTCATTTTACTATTTTTTGTGTATTTCCAGGGCCCAGCCCTGAATTTTCCAATTTTTTGATTTTTTGCCCCCTAAATTTAGTCCGTTTTTACCGGTTCACCCAAATGTACATTGTTCGGCCCCGGAGCGCCCTCCCCATTTTTTCCACACTTGTCATTTTTGAATTTTCTCCATGTTTGCCATTTTGCGCGACGTGTCTTGTATAAAGTGGTACTTTACGTTTTTTGTGTCAACCCTAACAGGGAATAAACAATATTTAAAAATGTCTCTCGAAAATACAAATACAAAATACGTACGAATGCAAAAAACAACTAAAAAGTGCCTAAAAAAAGCACCTCCCCGGAATTCCGTCGCATTACATCCGAACAGTCCCAAAATTGGACCAGAGGTGTATCAGGTCCTAAATAACAACAATCCTGAGTTATAGCCCGCCAGCTACAGTGATTGTCGAGCTACGATAAAATAAGCTTTACAAGGGGTTTCGCCGGAGTCAACCTCTCGAACATTCAGTGAAAATGGTGCGGGAAGGCTTGTTTTCGCCTCGGAAATGGTTACTGACAAAAATCTAATTAAATAAACGTTTATTTAAACGTCCTGTAAACGAAAAACCACTCTGGTCATCAGCCAGTTACGGGATTCCGAGCCCGCAGTCGATCGAAATCGATGCAAAGTCCACAAAAAAATTTTTGCATAGAAAACGGTATTTTTACTATAACTCGAAAAATACTGTTGGGTTCTAACTCAAGCTTGTGGTTATTTAGGGTCTGGTACACCTCTTGGCCTATTGTGGGAGCGATCAAACGTATCACGGAAAAAGGCCTGCGGGGTGCTATTTTTTTCTGACACCCTGCCTCTTCCTAAACTAGCTCGCGGCATCTACACTGCACGACAAAATAGACGACAGCGCCTTTGGATTTTTGCGCAACTTGTGCTCGCTGGAGGATAGCAAAAAATGAGCACGAACGTGCTTTCGAGTATCACCTAGTCGGTGGATGGCCCTTGACTTAACTTTTCTTTTAAATTTCCATTGAATGGTGATTTAAGGAACGCGAATTCCCCCCCTCTCTCGCTCTCTCTCTCGTTCTCTCTCTCTCTCGTCTCTCTCTATAGCTCTCTCTCGCACTCACTCACTCTTTCTCTTGCTCTCACGCTCTTTGTCTCTCTCAGTCTCTCACTCGCTCTATCTCCCTATCTCTCTATCTCTTTATCGCTCTCTTGCTCTCTTTCTTCCTCCTCTCTCTTATTCTGTCTATATCTACGACAAAATCCCTAAAATTCCGAATTCGTCACTTCCACATCGTTGCTAAACCAGGAAACGTATGAGAAGTCTCGGCCCTTTTCGTGCCAGCAGAACCGATATAAAGAGTATGGCCGGCCCCAAATTTCGGGTTTCAATCGCAAGGAAATTGGAGGGTGCGGTGCGGGAATTAAAGGGCATAAAAGTTCAGAAGCGCGATGTAACGCCCCCAAATTGGTATCAGGGTCGGCAGTAAAATGCGACATTTTGAGCTACGTGGCAACTTTTAGGTCCGCCCGTTGGTCCGTCATTTTTTAAGGTGAGCTCCGTCTTGGAAACGGTAGTTTTGGTGGTTTAAAGGGGCTGGGAAGGCAGTAATTTCCGGTCCCAAGATTTTCGCATTTTTTTGAAGATTCTTCGACGTTAAGTCAAAAAAATTTTGGGGCCGTTTATTGATATCTGGTTTGGACCCCATTGAAACTAAAAATCACTGCTAGTTTGTCTTGCGCTGGGACGGCGGTTAAGGCCCGAAAAATTCCCTAGAGATCTCTGCTAGGATGCCTGGTTCTGCCCACTGATTATTATTGACTAAAAAGATCCTGGCGTAATGAAAAGTGACAACATTTATGCCAGGTTGGCCGTTTAGATTTCGAAAAGTACCAGGGCGCTTTTTTACCTTACAAGGAACCTCACGGAGACATGGTGGAATTTCGGAAAACGCTCGCGGCTACCCCCGGGTAATCGGCCATTGCGATCACGATGCGCTTGTCAAATTTTTCTAAATAGACCTGTGGACAGAGATACAGCACTTCCGGAAAATGCTGATTTACATGCAAAAAATTTGCATTGAAGGATGGTTTATGAGACTCTCCCATCACTATGGAATCACCAGTTGAATGGCCGAGTGGTAAGCGACTCACTTGGTAGGATGCTGACGAGGGTTCGAATCCGCTTACGATTTTTTGTTTTGCTTTTTGGCCAGAGATTTTTGTACAAGTCCAAAATCATGCGTACTAAAGTACTTATAAATTTTATGACAGTTGTCGACGTTACGTGGTCAGAAAATTATTCTTGTGAAATATTTTTCATTTTTTGCAGATGGTCAGGTG